CTTATTCGAAACACTCTCGAGCACTTTTACATTTTAGTTAACGTAATTCTCGTTGCATAGTGAGCGTGGAAAGAGGCGGGTGATGTAAGAATTAATTGCATTGTTTTTTAATACCCCAATTAACAGCTGATGTGCGTAGACACGAAGCCGCCTGCCCACATCTTGTGCCTTCTTTCGCAAATCTATTGTTCACCAGCTCCATACCATATCCGTTATGTGCTTATTGGCTTCCTGATTTATTTTAGCTGCCCATCAGTCAACAATGTGTTTATTGTTTTGTTTCATTGTAATTACTTCTCATCTTCCTCTGCGATTCCTTTCTTTGATCTTTGCCCATTCCATGACGTGTGGCGACATTCAAATAACTGAATAATTTCGTGTTGAATGTAAGAATACTTCTGATTGAACACGGAAGAATTCTGCGTTATACCTGAAAGGGATTGCTTCTCATTTGACTTGCTGTTAAGAACTTCATTTGCCATGTATTGCGTTACACATATTGCATTGCTTCACTCAGAGCTGGTTTGTAATCGACTCTACTTATGCCTTGCATCATAAACTAAGTACTCAATAAAGATGAAACCGTTTTCAATACTCACCACACTTGGCTAAATTATTTGTAATTTTCCCAGCACGTTAGTGGTTTGTCCTGATAAAAATCAGAGATCTGTTATTTTTTTCATTTTCATGATTTCATTTATGTATGCTCGAATTCATCTCAAATTAGCAAAGATACAATATGAGTTAGATTTCTTTAAGATATCTATAGTTTTTTTTTAGAATTAAATGAGGAAGCTTTGATAACTTATATTAATTTGGTAAAGATAATTTAGTGACAAGTACTGATTGCGTCTTTAGACCACCCAGCGTATTTACAGCTAACCTACCTATCCATCCTTTATTTCCGTTTCGCCACAAAGTTCAGACCTCAGTTATATTGAACGTGGCAGAGCTGCTGTAACCACTGATCCGTTGTTCCAATACATATCTACACGTTCATCATCAGATTATATCGATAATTTACTTCCTGTTTCCTAAATTCCTAACAGTTTATTTCTCAGAAATGTAATATAGACTCCTCCTACGATATTTAGAATTTACCCTGTAGAGTGTACTATAGAAATTTTGTATACATCCCTCATTTTAATATTACTGCTGAGAAATTATTAAGTAAAGGATAATGTTAGATCGTGAAATCCTGGTTTCTCTATTTTATTTTTAAATATAGCTATGCTTTTTTTCTTCAATTTAATTTAATTTTTGGTTTTCCATCTTTTTTTATACTCTCAGTAAGATCGACCTATACACCATTAGTATTAATGCTCTCCTATGTGGCAGAATGTATTAGTTTTCATATGAAAAAAAATATACTATTAGTGTTCGAAACTAGATGACTGTTTTTTATTGAAACTTTCTGTGATTTCTTTTGGAGAAAGTCTGGATCTAAAGACAAGATTTGTAGCTACTTTTATAACTATAGTAATAACAATAGTGAAATTAAGAAGTGTAAGAAAATTTGCTGAATTTTTACTGCCACAATATTTATTTTTTTATATTAATTCTTTATTCTTTTGAATTTTCATTATTATAAATCACATTAAATAGATAAATTATTATTCTATTATCGATTGCAATGATAATTATTTCAGTTGGGAGATAAACATTCAAACAAGGTCTTGCAAAATGGCGGTTCTGAACCATCGCTCTTTGGATTTCTCAACCGCATGAATACTGCATAGACCATACTGCTTAAGCGAAGGTTAAATTCCTAATTATTCTTCTACTTGGAATGTGGAGTATCGTCACACTCATTAGAATTCTTCAGTAGTAAAAAATAAAATAGCCTGAATAGGATAAGTGGAGTAATATGATTTTATATTTGAGTTGCTGTTTGGTCCTCAGTGTTTCCATGTTTTTTTTTTTGTAAATTCGTTCAGGAATACAATTGGTCCACTATGTCGCGCAAGACTTACAACAAGTTAATAGATTAACTTCTTCTTAGGATTTTTTCCCCTGAATCTTACATGTGAATTTTTATTTTATGTTTTACTTATATACAACCATGTCCTTCTTTTTAACCCATTAACGACGGCGTACTAATATATGACTCGAGTAAAAATTACGAGTCCGTGAAGGAGTAAAAAATAATGATTAAATGAAATAAAAAGTATTACCAAGTTAACATGGATTGTTATTGGATTATTATTGGATCCTAATGAACATTGGATAACCTCTATCAGACGATGGTTCCTCATTACCCTTCACTTTCTTCTGGCATCTCAAGAAGTTGAGGATCGGCGTGCATTGGTAGTCCTGGCCTACGCTCTCACTAGCATCGATCGTAAAGAGTACTGCCTAATCATCTTGGACGAAAGCTGCGGTTATCCTGCTTTTCCACTTTTACGAAGTTTCTTACGTAAGTGAGATCGTCCACCTTGTTAGATATACCTTCTCTCTACTGAAGTTCTTATATGTAGTTTTTCCTGTAAAAACGTATTTTTATTTCGGTTTTGCAAAGCTTATCTTTCTAAAAACAAATTTTCATTGAAACTTGTTCATTGAAAAATATTACAATCTGTCTCAAAGGACATTTATAATAGTGTAAAAATGTAATAGTTTCCCCTTACAGTATATTTATTTATTTCTAGTATATTTATTTATTGTACATAAAGTGTGAACTCCACTGTCATATCACTGTGTCACTATTACAAATCTACTAAGTTGCGTTAAAATGTAATGTTATGTAATAAAGAAGTATCAAAAATTAAAGATAAATAGTAGTAAACAAAAAAATATAATTGTAAAACGTTTTGACATAGCAACATTTTTTTTTTTTTTTTTATGGGTCTAAGTTATGTAGTTAAGTCCGTGGTACAGACCCATTTTTATCGAATTATTAACATCCGCCTGAAACTTCATAAATAGTTTCATCTCATCATAACCTACAACTATTTTATTTACAAAAACTCTTGGAATTGGGACGTTTTCAATCTGGAGGGTGGCAAACTTTGTCTATTTAATTAAGTACTAAAAACTCGTTAATACACATTTGATTTCTACTTGAATCATAAGATAATTTTATCACAAAATGGAGAATAAAATATGCTTTTCAAAAACATTGAGCCGTTTGGGGTGACCTACACGAGGGTGTGAAATTTTGGGTAAAATTTCAAAATAACGAAGTCAAGGACAAAAAACGGCTCAATATTTTTAAGACTACCCTTTTTTCTCGATTTTCCGCTTAAATTATCTTACGATACAAATGACAAACAAATGGGTATTTACGAGCTTTTAGTACCTAACTAGATAGAGTTTGTCTCCCTCCAGATTGAAAACGTCCCAATTCCAATAGTTTTACGTAAATAGTTGTAGGTTAAGATTAGATGAAACTATTTACGAAGTTTCGGGTGGATGTTAATAATTAGATAAAAAGGGGTTTGTATCACGGACTAATAGGGTGTATAAAAAAAATGACCGTTTTATCAAATTCAAGATTTCAAATGACTGTAAGTATTTTAATCCTATTTAATACTTAATAATCTCTTTAGGGCATTCTCTAAACTTGTCTAATCCCATTCGACTTCTTAAAAAAAAACTTCAGTGTAGTTATTTGTTTCAAAAAAGAAACATGCCAGTGTCCTACGAAATTCTCGTAATTTTAAGGCATTACTGGAAAAAAAAATTCACAGCCGCTAAAGCAACTCGTGAAATTATTAGATATGAAGGGAAAGGTGTCCTTGACCAGCGCACTGCGCGGCGTTAGTTTGAGAACACTAGCAGTAGAGATACAACATTGGAAAGGAAGGAGGGCTCCGGGCGACCAATAATGGATATTGATAAGGTTCTGCAGAAAGCTGTTGAGTCAAATCCGTCCACGACTACTCGCGAACTTGCCAAAGAGTGTGTTGTATCGAAATATTCTGTTAGTCACAATCTACTCTCCATAGAAAAGATGAAAAAGAGCAATAGACTGGTCTCTCACGAATTACCCCTCAGCAATCAGCGAAGAAGTTAGAAATTTGTGAAAATTTATTGAAAACCCCTTCTTATGTGAGACTCCTGCCTCATCCACCATATAGTCTAGACGTCGCACCATGAGATTACTACTTATTTAGATCCATGCCCCATTTTCTTCATGAAAAAAATTTGATAATCTTGTGGAAGTTGAAATTGTGGTCAAAGAGTTCTTTGACAACCATCCCAAAGAATTGTATCAGCGTGGAATCGACCAATTGGCTAGCAGATGGCAGTATGTAACAATGGACTATACTTTGAGTATTAATTATATTTTATATCAAAGAAATAATTATACAAATATTTGGTTGAAAAACGTTCATTTTTTTGTTGTTATAGCCTATTAAATTGCCACATTGATATTTATGGATGATAAATTATATGAAGTAAAGAAACTGTATAAAATAATAAAACAGTTAAGTCAACAGTTAAATCTGCTCTAAAATTCTTACTAAAGCGATTAGGTATAGTTGAAGAAATCTTTCCTTTATCCCGTGACCAACGGTTCAAATATAAAAGTGACCAAATATCTCTATGTTGATTAAAATAATGTCCTCAATTTAAGAACATCAGTGCAAGAAAGTTTTGTTGATTTTGTAATTATTTAGGTTAAGGAATCTATATTTCCATAAAATCCCTATTGGGTAAAGTAATAATTGATAGAAGAGAACACTGGATAAAAAAAAAATATAAAATTAGAATGCTTGTTTATTTTTATTAATCTGATTTTTAGATACATGTACACACACTTTATTTTTTTCCAAATTTTTTATTAGAGAATATATTAAAAATTTATTCTCTAATACAAAGTAACCATTTAGCTATAATTAGAAAATTGCGGTGTACCTAGCTTAATTTGTTTTATTACTTTCATCACCTTTATGTAATATATATTAAGATGACACCTAAAAGACTCATTTGCCTTAATTATCTGTTTTAATATTGTTAATTTAAGATTTAATTATTATTGTTTGTTACAGGTAATAATGCGTTGGAATATTTGTGGTAGCACTTGTGTGTGAGTACTCATTCTACTTGTTAATAATTTACTAATCATATTACTTAATAGCTACTCTTATCATAACAGGATGCTATAATTATAATTTAGTGCAAAACCTAAAATTATGCCTAAGGTGCAATAAACTTGATATTCCTGCAAGCTTTTGTAGTGTGGCTGTTAATATATTACTGATATAATAATGTAAAATTTAAATTTTGTATAGTTCTTAATAAATATTTTGAAATTTAATAATTTCTGTATGTGAAACTAAGAAATGATATTCAGACCGATTGATAGTTTCATTTAATATATTTTTTCTTAATATAATAATCTCTTCTAAGGATTAGTTCATTTTATTGGTTTTGTTAAAAATAATATTTTCAGACATAGAATACAATGATGTTTTAGGCATATAATTTCTTTTAATGTTAGCATAATTTAGTAAACAGAATTATTGTTTTAAAAACAATTATTCTTATTTCTTTGTTTAGTTATTATGGGTTATTTTGGGTTTTGTTCTAAGTATCATTTATTTGATAGTGACTTTGGTCGTTTCCTCGTGCTACACCTTCTCCCCAAAGGATTCCCATTCCTTTATGCCACGAAAGATGAGGACTTTTACCTTTCATGTGTAGCAGTCAGACCTTGGCAGGAGAAAATTCTCACAATGAAATGAATAGAGCCGACATTTAAGCCTGTCAGAGCTGAAGCCAGGTGAAACCAATAGATTTTCCATATACGAGCTGTGACCTACAATGTTCAACTCATCAGAACGAGATGCAATACCATACTATTATTACCATACCGATATAAACCAGTACTGTGACTGATGTGTGAAAACTATTTTGTACTAAAATAAATCATATCGTTTCTTTTTAAATATTTTAAATATATTTAAGCGAAACGCTTGAATCATTGGAAATGCATTTTTCAAACAGATATTTCCTATTGGTGAATTTTATAATAGAAAAATGCAGGAGTTTAAATACATGTCAAACAGATAGAGATTTAGTTCCTATAATTTTATTATGTGGTAGATATAATCCTTTTTTATAGATTAAAAATATAATTGTGGATTGATGGTTGACTGTAGTGAACAATGAAGGGAAGGATGGCTGGGGTGATCAATCAAAATAAAAATGGTAAAAATAAATAATAATATTTATTTTAACATTTGCCGACGTTTCGACCCGAAGTTCAGGCCTTCATCAGGGCTAAGAAAAGAAACAGATAACTGGTATGAGAAACATAAACAATATGGGTAAGAAAACTTAAAGTAAAATGAAATAGGCAAGTGAACATTAAATTAAAATAAAATAGGTAGAATAATGACAATAACAAGAACTAAGAAATAAATAATAATAACGGTTACAAATTTCAAGCGATCTCTTCGATCGAAGAGATCAATTTGGTTTTCTATCTTATCTTAGTTTTCTCCTTATTTTCTCCTTTCTTTCACTCTATTTTCCATATCTTCATCTCTACTTTGTTTATATTGATACATTTGCTTATTTATTTTAACTCTTTATTCTCTTATACGTAGTACATTTTGATAGACATTACTATATCTCAATTTTCTATTTATGATATCTCAATTTTTCGATTTTTATTTATTTCTTATATAACTTAATCTTACTTTTCTCTGTTTTAAATTTTACATTACGATTACCATTTTAGTACTTATGTTACCTTATTTTGATTATGTTTACTTCATTAGTCCACAATTTGTAACCGTTATTATTATTTATTTCTTATTTCTTGTTATTGTAATTATTCTACCTACTTTGTTTTAATTTAATGCATCTACTCCATTTTACTCTAAGTTTTTTTTTTTTTTTTTACCCACATTGTTTATGTTTTTCATACCTATTGTTATCTGGTTGTTTTCTTAGCCCTTATGAAGGCCTGAACTTCTGGTCGAAACGTCGGCGAATGGTAAAATAAATATTATTATTTATTTTTGCCATTTTTATTTTGACTGATAACCCCCAACCATCCTTCTCTTCATTAAAAATATAAATGTACTTTTAAATTCCTCTTTGTATATAGAGCTCAGAGACTGGAATAACTGGTTCAAATTGGCTGATGAAGTTTTAAGGTTTTTATTACCAATAGTGGGACTAAACATTATATAACACATTTGTGATATTTCGATGGTCTTAATTAATTTTCGTGTTTATAAATGTGACCGAAATTCAATAAATATTTTTTTTAAATGTTCAGACCCATTAAAAATCTTTTCCAAATTACTAACTTTTTACAGAAAATAATTACTATTTATCTTAGAGCAGTAAGAGAAAGTTGTATGATGCGCCCACAAGATTTTTCTTTTAAGCTGTGCAATTGATTCTTGGCGTTTTGCTATTTCGTTCTCCTTTTAAAATCTGCTGCCAATTTCAATTATTGTTCAGCCTTCTGTTCTAGATGATAGCGTCTCCTTCAAGCTTTAAAAAGTAGCCGTTGTAAAAGATAGAAGAAAGCATAAAAAGGAGCTGACAAGTTGAAAATAAATGCATCTGTCAGCAGAATGTCTTAGCCATGACCAATAGGCTACCAGAGGCTTTGTTTTGATTTTTATAATTTACGAAGCGGCCGTGACGTATTTATGGCTTGCATTCTTTTGGAACTTGAGGGTATATTAGGGCAATGATTGGGTTCAGTAGTATTCGCAATCAATAACAAAAATCTTATTAACACGGCTGAACTATGGCAACAACTGAAATTAATTGTTTATTTATTTATATTTTTTTTACTAATCACCTTTACCATTCTTCTCTTCGATTGAAATTAATTATTTATGAATATTTAAATTTTATAGGATGCCATGCACATAACATCAAGGATCTGTTGTCATTTATAATTACCATCCATATATGCTTCAACAATTGATTTTTTTTTTAAATACTGATTGACGTTTCGGTGGACACTCTCCATCTTAAGAATCTTACTTCGTGTCCAATATAACATTAAAGATTAGTTAGTACTCCGGAAGTAAAGGACACCATGGCCATTTTTATATTTGTTCATGGAGGCCAACTTTCCATTATAAGTTTAAGGAAACGCAATGGTTAAACCATGGCAGATTGTAAATCATACCTAAAACTGATGGCTTACTAAATCTAAGTATTGAACCTTTGCGTATCAAACGCACGAATCAGCTAATTGTATATAAAAATGATGAGTGATAATTAACATAACCTATATAATTGTAAAGTGAACAATAGAATACTATAGATGGAATAAAATATATATATATATTTTTTTTTTTGTTTTAAACTTATTTATTGAAAAATATTACAATCTGTCTCTTGGAGATTTATAATAAAGTTCACAGATCACATTCACACTTTATGTACAATAAATAAAATAAATTATACAGAACTTAAATTAAATGTGATAATCTGTCCCGTGATGCTAAAACCAGTGGAGATTGAGCGAGAGCGCTTTAGCCACATACACTTATATCTTGAGTGGAGAATCTGGCCATTGTCAGAACTCCAGAAATCCAAGAGTCTGTATATAAGAGTTTTTCTTCTTTTTTTTTTTTTTTTTTTGTATGGGTTGATTTTCAAAATATGTTAACAGAGCAATTGAATATATTAAATATTTTTGTTTAGGGATTTGGGTTATTGAGATGAACTATAAATTAGCTGTGATGAAATGTGATAAAATCTTCCCGTTAATTAAATGGAAGGATGTACATAAATGAATCATAGAATCCTAGGATATGTTACTACATATATTTTTTTTTTTTTTTCCTGTTCTTCCTTACCTCGCATTTTAGGCTATACGGGATTTTCCCGGGCCGAAGGGTGAGGGCGGAGAATTTAAAATCCCCTCCGGCACCGGGACGCGAACTCGTACTTTTTAATCTTCTCGAATCTGTTATCCGGTTGCCCGGCAACTCGCGGTGCTGTGCACACGCTTTAGCCCATTCGGCCACCCCGCCCCCCTAACTACATATAATTATCTTTGAATGTAACTAAAATTTCAATAATAGGCTTACTAGTACCTACTTCTGGCCCTTAGTTTAGCTATCTAATCCACGTTTCCCATTTTCTTAATTGATTTTAGTTTACATATATTATGCATTTATGTTGATTAGTTGTCATTAATTTTGATTTTATTTTTGTTCTTTGAAATATTGGAGGGACAAAACTACATTCCCGTAGTCTGCACCCATGGTTGTAACATATAAACATAAGAACCAACCATGTTTTAGAACACTTGGAACATATGTCGAATGGTCAATATAACGAAACAAGCATAGCAAAGTTGTTATATTTTTGTTTTTAATCATATATTACTTTATCTTGTATCACATTATCGAATCCAACTGATTGTATTTTGTTTAATCAAAGTATACTATGAATTTTAAAAAAATACGGTTATTCATGTACACCCACACACACGAATGCGTGCTCACAAATATATACACACAAAGGAGTAGTTTCTAATATCATAGCGAGATATTAGTTGTTTGATAAATAAGAAAGCTTTCAAAAATATAGATTTTTTGAGTAAAATTGGGTTGCATCAAAAGTCAAAATTACATTCAGGCTGCCTATATTTCCGTACTTTTTTTTTTTTTTTTTTTTTTTTTAAGTTCCTGGTCTATGTATATTTAGTATTTTCAAAATATGCTTATACGAGTCTTTCAGTTGACAGAGTGACTAAATGACATAAAAAAGTGACACTTTTCTTTATTAATTTTAGTGATATTTCTAGTAAAAAATGTATGTATACCTTTATTCACAATTTTATATTTCAACTATATTCTCAATCAAAAACAACATAAAAAATAAATGACATAAAAAAAATGACACTTTTCATTATTAATTTTAGTGATATTTCTAGTACAAAATGTATACCTTTATTCACAATTTTACATTTCAACTATATTCTGCATCTAAACACGGCCAGCAGGAGTATAAAAAATACAGAAAACTGTATGTTTCATTCTATAGGTTATGAATCTGTCCGGTCATAACTAAGCCAACTTAGTATAGCCGATATTATTTTTCATCGAATAAAAGTGCGTGCTTCGTAATTCATTTGTAAGATTATTATCAACTACGTCATTAATAGATAAATCTTGGAGAAGTGCTTGCTTATTTTGAGTATCTCAAACGATACTTAATGGTTAGTATAAAACCAACAAAAAGACAAGTGCCATTTGAAGGGTAACCCAGCCATTACGGAGGGTGTAAGCTGAAAGAACAGCAACCTTAATACACTTTTCATGGTTTGTAGTTCAATAGGTTACCCGGTGGCCTTTAGCTCTTGGGACAAAGGGTTCATTATAGCAGCTCTCCACCCATTTATCTTCCTCACTCCGCATTCTCATTGTCCTAAAGAAGTGGATGAACTCCAGATTCATTTTAGGTGAAGAAAAGAGTGCCGTTTCGAATATTAAAAACAATCAGGGTTTAGGACGACAATGTGACGCCAGTCGTCGACTTGTTGAATAACAACGTTGTAATGCGTAACACTCTAATCTCCAATGCTCCAAGTACGTTTCATCCTTGGGTTTCTTAAAGATTTTACGAATTATTCCTAACGATGCTTCTTGTTAAAATTATTTGATATATTTGGCAAAAACCTAGTCTTAGCTGTTTTAAGTAGGGGAGTGTATCAGACAAATAGGTGAAAAAATCAGGGTTTAGTACACTGAAT